TTATTATCTTGAGACTCTTAATAACAGGAGGTGAAATGCAGCATACTCGTGATGTCATGAGTACGCTTCTGCTCGATTGGCCCATATTTTTGCTGCGTGCTCCCATTCTCACCAAGTCCACTTTCCTGTGTTCTTCTCAAGAACATACTTGGCGAGGACATGAGTCTGTACTCACGTTGTAGTGAATTGAGAAACGGCATAACTGAATACATTGGACTTGATGGGGTGATGTTAGCCTGCAACTGGAACTAACAAACACACAGCTCTCTTTGCACGCCTACACACAACCGTCGATACAAATTCCAGTGACATGCAAAACACACTTTCGCCATCCTGTTTTGTAATGTGGAAACTATGCAGCGCTCGTCAAAAACAAGTCAACGAACCAAACGGGTAAAGCCAACTGACGACCGATGATGAATGGCGATAAATAATTGCTTCCCAACAGCTCGATCTAAGAGAAGGAGATGGGGAAGCAGAGGGGCATTTTGTGGTTAAACACAAGTTTGCAATATGCAAAAAAAGATCATCAGCCTATGGGCAATATATCACTCAGGATCAGAGCAAAAGCTTTGTGCCTTCATCCCATTAAACTCATAAACCAACTGGTTAACCCGACTCATTTGAGTTAGTTTTGAGGCACACTGATAGAGAGATTCTCCCATATTAATGAATTATTTTCTTTATTACCTTATTGAATACCATTAACATTAAATACCAAAACAAAAACAATCAAAGAGAGAGACATTAAGCAGTTTTGGATACCTTGAAAATAAATAAATCACATAAGAGCCTAACATGAATTGAAATAGACCAAAAGATCTAAACTGAAACATATTCTGACCTGATTTAAAGAATTTCAAGAACAGCTGAAAATGAACCATCCATTGGTTCATTTTCATTAATTGGAAAGGGTCATAGAGGATTTTCCAATACTCTGTATACTGCATTAAAACCTATTAACCATTAATAGAGTAAACAAGGAACAGTTGAGAACCCTCCAAAGGGTGGCCAGGCTTCTGAAGTCACTTCTAGAGCACAACAAAAATTCATCAACAGAAGAACTCAGCATATTGTCTAAGGCATTGCAGGCCTCATTTGCCTCAGTAAAGGTCAGTACTTATAAATTCAACCAAAAGAGGAGAAGACTGGGTAGAAAAGGCTTTCAAAAGAGAGCTCCAATGCCAAAAGTCCCTCCTGACCAAAGAGAACAGTATCAGACATTTGTCCGAAAAAATCTTTATAACACCCAAGACATTATGGGAAACATTCTGTAGAATAAAGAGACAAAATAGGACATTTTCAGAAGGTGTGCTTTCTGTAAGTCAAGAGTACAACTAGCAGCACTTAATACCAGCAGTACAGGGCTCTGTCACCAATTTAGACAGCATACAACTAACGTCCCAGAATCTCCTAAAATGCTGGCACATGCTGAACTTTCTATGCTTTTTTTTTTCTTCAATTTTGGGCATATATATATATATAGCATAGTCATAACAAGTCCAGAGCGTATATTCAACATCAGCCTAACTTATGCCTAGCAGCGTAATGCCCATGAAATGATGCACAAGCCAGTGTCCTGAGGGGAGCAGCAATGCGCCTGGAGGCGCCCTACCCGCACAAAAAGATTTCTTTGGCAGGGCATTAACCTAGCTGCCGTTTATTGCCCATCAAAAAAAAGAAGAAAGAAAAAAAAGAAAAAAAAAGAAAGAGGCTTTGCAGTTGCAGGACATTCGGCGTCATGTCTGCTAGGAAGTTTGTTGGTTGTGAACGCAGAGAGGATCCATCACACTCATCTTCTCGCTCACCCTGGGTTCTTCAGCATGATGAGAATCCAAAGACAAAGCTACATCCATCTCTAAATAATGGGTTAAAAAAAATAAAAAAATAATAAAAAAGAAATGGCCTATAAAAAGCCTGGAATTACGTCTGACTGAAAAGCTATGAAATTAAATCAAAGTCATTAAAAATGTTACTTAAAAAAGATATAGGAAGCAATTTCATTTGTGTCCTTTCCGTGACATTTTTGTGTAAAAAGGTGCGTAAATAAATCAACTTAATTAACAGAGCGCCACAATGATTTGTCAAGTAAATAATCAAGTTTGAAACAGGCCGTCAACAATACAGACACGGACTGACTGACTTGCATCGTCCTTCATCCATACCTGATGTAGACGAAAAATAATTATCACAATATTCCTGTTATTCTCAACTGTAATATGAAATGTATAATTTTTGTAATGTTATGCAGCTCCACTTCAGTGATATTGTATATTTTTATTTTACAGCAAATAAAGCGTACCCACTTAATTAATCCTTTATAAGAAAACACGCCTTCCCAAAACATCTTAGAACTAGAATAAACTAAAACTGTATTTTCTTCTCAGCCTGTCCGTAATGGACTTCTATAGTAAATAAAAAAACCTTATGACTACTTGAAAGAATTAATGTTTTGAACAAAAACTAAACTTATATCAACAAACAACAAGACAGGGCATGAAAAGTGCATGAAAGCAACAAGGCTACTCTGCAGAAAGGTGGCAAACAAATTCCAGGTAACCCACACTTCCAGTATTTAAACTCTATAAAAATGAAGGTTTGATAACAATAAAGTTTGCAGACACGTCCCTCCTGTGAACACAGCGTTCTGGTGACAGCTGAGCAAATGGCTCAACAACTGCATTAAAAACAACATCCCCCCAAAGGTGAGACTGAAAATTGAATTAAGTTTGGCCCCAAAGGTGGCCCTGGATTCAGGATTATGTCTGTGGTTCAGTCTCTAGAGTCGATATTAAGTTAATGGCAACACTGTAGAGGCTACCTGTGGGGAACACCTCAGCAGCGGTGGCAGACTGCCCCGCCTCAACACCTGTGTTCTGGGACTGTCAGGTAAACTGGGACTACTGCTGAAACAAAAACACAGCTGGTAATACCTAAGGCTTCCGAAGGACAGATTTACTGATGTGAGCAAAGATGATGTCAAACAGAACTTTAGAGCCAATTCCTGCAGCCACTAACAAAATAAAAAAAAAAATTATAAAGTTGCAAGTTAAATGGTTAAAGCTGCCATTGAATTAGAATTGTAAAAAAAAAAAAAAGCATTTAACTGGAATGTTTCAGTTCGATTCCTCCAGAGAGGTGACTAGGTAAACAAGGGTGCTAAGCCATATTATCTTGTAGATCAATCACTTCTCCAACAAACCAGCAACAAATAACCTGAATTCCCTCATCAGCATTTCATTCAGCCCTGCAGAGGCCTGGTATTGAGCTATTCATCTAGTTCAGGTAAGTCAGATAGATGCATTTTGAAATTGCAGGATTGCAGCACTGAAGGACTGGATCTAAAAAACAAACAAACTAAAAACTCCACTAATATAATTTAGCAGCAACAGTTATTGTTGGCAGCAGGTATCAGTGGGGGCCAAACTAATGAAAGCAAGAACCTAGAAATGAGAAAAAAAAAGAAAAAAAACTGACATGTTTAAAGATACCAGAGTTCTTTAAAGCTGCAATAGAGAGAGTGGGACTTTTAGCAAACAACAGGAAGGCTGACCAAAGCAAAATTTGTTTAATTTATCTCTAACTGCTTATATTAATGCTACTAGCCATATAACATCAGTATAGCCTTTTTTTCCAGCGACGGCTGTCAAACACAGGGTATGATGTCATCTCTATTCCCGTCATAAAAATGAATAGCTTATGGCATAAAGATGAAAACAAAATTCATTTGAATGCTATTGTTATACCTTTATGTGCTATAATTATAAAACAGGAAATAAAAAGCAGTTAAAGCTACATTTTTGGTAAAAGATTTGATAGAATCCCAAACAATCTGTTAACAAATCCCCAGATTGATGCCTCTCTGCTTACACACTGGAAAACTGAAGCTCCATTTTCCCATGAGACATCTTTGATTATCAACACAACTGATACACGATGGTAGCAGGCGCTAGTATACTCACTGATGGAAAGTCGAAGTCTTTCTGGTTGATGAGGTTGAGGACATAGTCAATCCTGTACTGGTTTTCCGGACAGGCCAGCTGCACTGGTGGTGTAAGTGTGCTCATAGCTGTTACAATGGTCTGTTGAAACCACAAACAAATCCATAGTGAAAACAAGAAAGAAAACATCAGATTATGAAGATTTTTACACATAGAAGACTAGACGACTTTAGTTAATGCTACTAACCATCTTCAGCAAATTTCAACCAAACACATACCTCAATAGCCTCTTTAATGTTGTTCTTAATGTCCTGAATTTTCTGTTTCTTTTCCCTGAAACAAACAAACAAAAAAAAATAGAAACATTACATCAAAAAAAGAAACAAACTGCAAAATGTTAAATGTTGGACCCTCCATATTGGATAAAAATAAATGCTATTCAATTAATAATTTCAGCTATTACCTCTTTCCCACTGGCCAAAAAACACCTTTAAACCCACAAACAATTGGCTTTTAGTGGGAACGGCTCACTGACCCACGTCAAATGACACGGCAAGCGACCTGGCTTAAAATAAATAGTCTCTGATCTGGGAACAACAGACCCGTGTCGACCCATTAAGAGACCCCACTGAGCGCAATTAACATACATCACAACATCGCGCCAGTCGTGTCTAATATAACAAGCGAAAACAACTCTGCTTGCATTCGATAAACATGGGGCAGCACTGGTGAGAGGCTCCATTCTCTGCTGCTCCATTGTTTACTTTCCTGATTTCTGTCAAATTGATGACATCATAACCCAGAGTGATGGTGCCGCAGGACACGCAAAGGTGGGGGGTGGGGGCCACACAGCTTGCCAGACTCAGCTTTTTGCCAAAGGGAAGTGAGCCACATGCCAATTATTAACATAGTGACCCGTGTTTGAAAAACCCTTGTTAACCCGCTAAATTCAGTGCGAAAGATGCTTAAGACTCAAAGAAATTTAATGGATCATGAAGAAAAAACTGAGACTCAAAAGTAAAGCGATTCAAATTGATTCAATTTCAAAAATTTTACTGGATATTAAAAAATATGAACCAATTCACAAATTAAAGCCAATTCAAAATGAAAACCATTCATCCCATGAATTTTGTAGCATATAAACAGCTCAACAAACCAGCCAACATGTGCTTCTTGCACCAGTGTTCCTATTTGTTATAAAAATAAACAGTAATACAATACATTTTTTCTATAAGTTCTACTTCTAGTTCTTTTATGAGTATATCACATATGCCTCTAACATTTGCAAATTATTTCCTTTTACTATTGCAAACAATTCACTGTATCTCTACTAACACTAAACATGCTGCACCCTCTACAGAAGACTCCCAAACTAAAATTGTTTGTGTAAAACCTAAATTGGTTGGAATACTGACAAGAAAAACTGATCTGTTGTACTTTAAAATCAAGAGAATTTGAGCAAAAGCATAAAAAAAAAAAAAAGAAAAACATTGGGAAGAAGGAGCTGACAGATCCCACTACAGCATGGCAAAGAGTTTGTTTTTGATCTGGAAGGGTAAACAGACCTTCATCGCCACGCGTGGTGCAGAAATTATGTCTGTGCAATGTGAATGATAGCTGTGTGTACGAGACGTTTGGGACTCGGTGTGATAGAAATGTTTCTAATAAAAGGAGACCAGTGGGCCAGTTTGTCCGTCTTTCACCTTGAGCCTGCCAAGACAACAGGGTATTGTATTTATGATGGCTCCATGTACTGTTAAGGTCGGATCCATTTACAGAAAGGAGGTGGACATAAACAGAAAATATAAAAGCAAAACCAGTGAAACTATAACATCCTATAAAGAAAGTAAAAACAGTAAAGAAAAGATTGTGTATTTAACCTGAAAGATAAAATAATTTCAGACTCTTTATAGAAGCTGAACAAAAACAACAACATAAAAACCAATAAATCTCCATGATTAAGCCTAAAGTGACACTAACTGGTAATAAGGCTGCAGTGTTGCTGCAGCCATCTCTGCTCACGCTCACATACCAGACATTCAACATTTTGTTTCCAGTTTCGCTGTCATCAGTTTTATTGGAGGAAAAAAAAGATTTAAATTTTCTAAGACAAGCCACCTGTGAGGTCACTGTGCACTGATAAACAGAGGGGGGCGCTGAAAGGAGGAGGGAGGGGTGAATTTTATCGGGTTAGAAGGGAGATTGAGGCGGCCTTGTTTACGTTTTCAACCCGATAGTCATTAGAAATCACATGACTGTGTGTGTGTGTGTAAACTGTGCAGTATTGAGTGTGAGGCTGTAGGCCTCGGTGTCTCTGCTCCTTGTTTTATTTTTTATTAGACGTTTTAGGATTGGTTTGTATGGTGTTGCCATCCAGCTGCAATCATATTTGTCTGATCAGCTGCAGAAGCATACTCCCCGCTATCAGCAGCAAAACCTGATCATCATACTGCCTGTAGCTCAGTTCTTCCTACATTTGATCATCTTAGGGTTTTTGACATCCGTTTTTCAACCGAACAGTTTTTGTCTGGTTTACAGTTAGACTGCAAGATGTCATCATCTGTATCCCTTTAATTTGCCCGATATTCAACCTGTTGCACTTTTCCTCAAACATCAACAGATAAAAAACAGGAGGTTTTTATATCATTATAATAAAAACAGCACTTTGTGAAAAATTACCTTTAAAGAACATTTAAATTATTTAACATACCTACTGTATTAATAAACACTAAGTTTTAATTGAAAAATGCTGTTTATTACTTATCTTGCTTGTTATCACTTCCTGTGCCTCATTAACACCAAATTAAGAAATGTTATTTTTATTAAAGTAAAACTTATTTTTAAAGTAGTGTTTTCTTTCGGCTTTGTGTTTTGAGCTGGTTATTTCAAAACTTAGCAGAAGCTAAATTGGCCTCTCTTCCAGTTCATAATAACTAACCATGGTTCAATAAAATAACTCAAACACTGATGTGTGATTTTATTGCATCACTTTTTTTGGTTATTACGTTTCAATTTTATTATTAACCATTATAAGCCTTCTTTATTCCTTCAATTTTTAATGGGCAGTCTAGCTGAATGTTACTAGCTTAGTTAACGAGTTTCTTGTCTGGCATTTTAGTTTTGTGAATAAATTCTTGCATTTTAGACGGAAGTTGTTTCAAAATATGTAGGTTCAACAACAGAGGGAAGCTGTGTGCTGTGTGGAAAATACTTCCTGGTTGCCTGACTTTGTAATTTTAATTAAAAACAATATATCTATCAATGATTTCCTTTGGAGCTCAACAATTACTCATAGCTAGGGCTGGGCGATATTACCAGAACATATTGTCACATTTTGTGGTACAGTCATGATAACGATAAAATTGATGATTGAAAACCTGCTTCATTAATTTTTAGAAGTTTTTCATTGGTAACTATATAACTGTCACTACAGGTCACCGCAATCAGAACCCCACAATCAAGAACATCTTAGAAATAATATATACAAATTTAATAACGGGCTACTTCAGGACACAGGTTATATAAAAAGGTGTGATTTATATCAATAAACATCCCATAGTAACTGCATTTAATCCACTTCTTTGAATTTTCCAATGTGTCAATTGAAAATAATGAAATTGGAGAAAAATACAAATAAAATTCACAATTCACCCTTTTTTTATTTTTTTTATCATCACAAACTTTAATTGTTTAGAAGTTAAATCAAAATTGATATCACAACTAGAGGTTTAACACAAAAATGTTAAATAATGCCATAAATGCCCACCAACACTCATAAACCATGTTTCCATCCAATTTAAATTTCAGAAGGCCATTCTAGCACATCAGTGCACCATTTTTCCCCTTTTACTTTATAGACAGGAAATGTATTGATCATTTTTAAACTTTTGGGGTCAAAAAAGCTTGTTTTCTTTTAGCCCTATAAAGGTTTTAATATTATTTTATGTCCTTGTTTTAAACACTTGAAACCTCCAGCGGTAAACGTCTTGCTCAAGAACAGTGCAGTCGTAGCAGTTTAAAAAGTGAACTTTCCCCAAATCTGTCCAATAATACTTAGCAGCAAATCTTGAGGTTAGAGCCTATCACTACACTCCCTCCATTCATCCCAAATCCTGCACTGTTAGCAACCCCTAAACATTTCAGGTCCTAAATCAGCCATGTTAATATGGTGCTGGGGGATCTCTGCTAATTAAAACCTATTACTATGGCAGTCATGTGATCACCCATCAGTATCTGCTGTTTTGGTCTTTTTCTTTATGCTACACAGTTGACCCATGCAATCCAACTCTCACGCATCATCAAACTTACATGAAGGTGCTCCAGTTTATTTTCTATTTTAGCCATGCAGAAAACATTATCTATTGTCAGATGTCAAAGTTTAGTTGTAGCCGAGCTTGTCCAACATAAAGACACCGATTTTTACACAGAACATGGACAGAGATGTTCTATTTTTATAAAACAGTCTTATACACAAACACACACAAACTGTTCAGTGTTGTGGAGTCACACACTGGGTCATATGCTCTACTCTGCCTAAGCTGCTGATTTTCTAGTCTAACCTTGCAAAGATGCTTCTGTCCCGGCCAATACATGACATCCACCAGACCAACCTAAGCTTAGTCACTGACACGCAAAAACCTCACATTCCTTTTCAGCTCACTAAAATAAGAAAAACTGAAGAATGTGATCCTGAAACAAACAATAACAAAAAAGAGGAGAAAAGGGCGATCAGCTTCCTTAAGTGGTAAATAAAAAAAGAGAAAAAAAGAAAAAAAAAGGGAAAATAGACAAAGTGGTGTATTGTGTCCAAGCCTTGAAGAGAAGGAAAGATCAAATCAGTGGAAAGAAATCTTTCAGCCTTTTCATGGGGGAATTTCAGGCTAGTTGTCTTTTTTTTTTTTTTTAACAATACGGTTTGTTTCTCAGTTTAAACAGCAATTATTAGAAACAGAGCTGAAACCCTTACAGCTGCATCCGAGCCTTAGGTCACCAGGCATAAAGTGAAGGTGTCGGTGTGAAGATGGGGGCCGTTCTCCACAGTGGGGCTGGGCCCCTTAACTCCATTTGGATGACTAAACGCAGAAACTACCAGTCAAAGCTCATCAGACATCAGTGTCTGACCTCCAAAATGAATTCTAGAAAGAATGCTCAGACATTTAGCTGAAAAAAAAACTACTTACAGATGTATAAAGCATTAGCATCAGGCTAGCTGCTCTTTCACTTCCTGTTGCACGAGATTCTTTTCAATATAGAATTCAACCATTATTTTGACTTCTTGTCAGCATTTTGTTCTTCTCAATACCTTGCGGATGTCATAACTACAGTAAGTTGTGAAAATGTATTTTTTCCTTATCAAACTTTCTTCTTTCTCGGCTTGTCATACGATAAAAGTTTCACATCAAAGCATGACAAAAAAGAAACTTGAGTAAATCAAAAAAAGGTTTTTTTTTTTCTTCATTTTTTAAACTAGAACAGATTTGATGAAGAGAAAAAAAGCCAAAGCAACAGGGTCCTATGCCTAAACCGAACTACTGGTTTTTAATCACCTATGGCAGCAGAAACTGATAAGGGGTCTCTAACACCACTGTGAAGGAGTCTCTGCCCACTTCCTACCAGAAATACAGTCACATTAAACAGCATCACAATCAAATCCGACTCTGGACTTTGACTAGGCCAACATAAACTTCAACTATTGTTCTTTAGAGCTGACACAGGTCCTGGGTATAAGATCCCAATGTGTGGCCATTTCCTTCAGGGTTTTCTGCTCTTAAAAAAAAAAAAAAATAGAAAAGTAAAATGTTTTCCAGACCCCCAATTTAAAAAACAAACAAAAACAAAAAAAAAACATATTTTCAATCATTATAGAATGCCAATCAGCCAGAGGGATAAAATCTATATATATATAAAGTAGATCAAATTGTGATACCGGCCACTGCTAGAAGAGACCTTTATGTATTTTGTGGATATGAAACATGTATAAATAGTTAACTTCAGCAGAGCTAGGCTCATTTTGTGAGGCTGCAACTTTCATTTGTTTAGAAACAATACAGAGAGCTGAGGTTACATCTCTGATAAACCATTTGGTTATTCATTTCTTTTTATGGTATTCTGTTACTTTACAGAAAAAGAAGAAGTAGATTCATGTAAACTGACTTCAAGGTTAATCATACTCACTCTGCATTAAAGCCGTTGACATGAAGGATCCTCATTTGTTTCACAATGGTGCTCTTTCCGGATTCTCCAGCTCCTGAGATAAAGAAAAGAACATTCAGTCTCAAAAACACACACAAAAAAACACAATACAACTAGGGTCTAAAAAGCCATTTAAAGAAAATACGATGCACAGATGAGAGAGCTTTTATCTTTTTTTTTTTTCAAAAGAAACAAAAATTAAGCTGTGTGATATGGGTGAAAAATCAGTTGATAATAATTGATTAATACATTTTTCACCTATAGAAATAAGGAGCAGGGGAAAAAGGTTTGTTGATTCGTTTGGCTGTGAGGGGATGAGGCTAAATCCTTTCTTCTGCCTACATCCCCCAGAATGCTGTGTGGTTCTGGATTCGAGTTCAGTGAAATTATAAATCAATCCACCACACACATTTGCTGTTGATCAAGTGTATATTACTGTTGTACTGGTTTTGTGTAAGAGCATGGAAAATAAACTCCACATTTCCAAAGGAAAATAGAAAATATCAAGGTACAGCTTTGACTTATTTGTTCATAAAGATCTATTTGTCTGCGCTGAAATTTGTAAATGCTGATGACATTGGTTCTGTGATTGTTTGAAGCAGAAATTAAAACCGATATAGAAATTTGATCTTCTGTGCTGCCCTAAAAGAGCACCAATCGGCTGAGGTCAGTTTCTTTATAAGAACCCAGTTCCTATTCAGACTGCTCTCTTTAAATAGGACGAATGCATGAGGAGTAGCTACTAGTGAGAGCAATGTTTCAGCTGAAATGTTCATGGATATGAATAAAGCAAAATATCCGATATTGTTAAATTTGTTTGAAGATCCTCTATGCATTAAATGTGAAGTATTATATGCTACTAGGGTTAAAGAGATTCTGAGCAAGGGCAAATCACATAAATGTACATCTGGAAATCATAGGTATGCGACGCATCACTATGCCTAATATTATGAACAACTCCACAGTTTTCCTCCAAGTGATCAGAGAGTTCTCTGAAGAGTTGAAGCATTTTTCCAGAATTGCCCAAACGAAGCATACCAACCCATCTACGGAAATGAATTCTAGTCTGTTTAAAGTGGCCCAAACAGCTCCAGCGTGAAAGCGGCCCTTTTTCATCTGTCCAGGATTCACTGCACAGAATCCCTGATCGTAAAAAAAATGAAAGAGTAAAGAACAACCAAAAGTGACAAGAGGAACAAGGAGTTACCTCAAGCTAACTTCATGAATAAGCCATTTGTAGAAAAGGCATCAGAAACTGAGAAACCCACAAATCCAAGATCAACGAGACCCTGAACTGCTCATTTGTTTTAAATATCTCTCAAAATCCCTATGATTGAAAAGACTAAAATAAAAGATTCACGACAAGAGAGGAGTTTGTTGCTTCTTTAATAAAAACAAAACAGAAAATAACATCATGACAGAAAAAGCTACCACCGAAAGACACGGCAGAGTTTAAGTGGTTTGAGTGTTCTGCATCTGTTTGACAACAAACTCAAACCGAAGCTATGTGGTCCTGGTAGCTGCCTCTCTACTGGCAGGTCCCCGATTATTGAAAGTGTATCTGCTGTCAGAATGAAACTAGCAGCTCCTGCACGGCATGTCAACCTTGCAGAAAGCAAAGCTACATGAGGAATAGGCTGCATAATTTGCATAAGTACCAGCCCAATGTATTTAGGTTTCATTTTCAACATCCAATGCGCTTTAAGTATGGTCCATGCTTAGTTTTCATGCTTGAATGATCATTTATTATGCACAATCAGACTGAAATATATTACTCTAAAATGACCATGGGGAATAAAGTTATTAAATAATGACCAAAACATTTTTTTGCTGCTGTCAGTCTGCATAATACTATTGTAAATGATCTTCTGCAAAATAAATAAGCGTAATAATATTTATACATAACCCAAAACACTGTTTTATATATATTTTTTTTATTATATTCTCAGAATTCATATATTTAAGTCTGGTCAAGTTCGTTTATAATTGCTCTAATGCATTTTTTTTTTTACATGTTGTTCTTTCTCCCAACGTCCAAAGTACGCTACTAGTCGTGACAATTTTTCCACTGTTAGATTAAGATTAATTTTTTCCACAAAAAAAAAAAAAAAAAACCTGTGTCACAAAAGCTGCCCCTAAAAAATTATTCTGCTTCAGACCAGGCTTTAAATCTGACCTGCCCAATGAGACCAATGAGAGCTGCTTATCAAACTAAAACAGCCATAAAAGCTTCTGTCTTTCAGAGAAAGTTATAAAGTTTTCTTTTCATTGTGATATGTGGCTAACTCTAATCCTACTAAAATATGCGCATCATATACAGAAAAAGAAAGTTAACAGCCTGCGCAAATTCCCAGTCATTCGGTTAATGACAACCACAAAACAGGCATAAATTGGAGCCAAACTAGACTTTCACTCAGTTTTTCTGAAAACATTTCAACTCTTATCCAGGAGTCAATGAAAATTATGTCAGTTTTTAATCACCATCTAATGATTGAGGTAGTCTATAAGACGCAGTCCCTAAAAAAGAACCACATGGAATAAATGCTATGGTTTCTGGCTAATATTAGTGGGTAATGAATCTTATTGGGTAGAAAAATAATCGAAAATCAGCAGCTTGGGTCGTGAACATCAAAGAAAAAGGTTAAAATTTCAGTAGAAATCAAAAGCTTTAGTTCCTTTATGTTTAAAATAAAATATTTCAGCTGTAAATATTTTAAGAATATCAGGACCATAGCTAACGCCGGCGCCCTGAGACTGCGGGAATGGACTTTTGCCAAAATAATAACTAAAACCACAATCTATACAGAAAATATTAGAAAAGAGGGGCTAATGAATTCCTTGGTATGCTGTGTGTGTCTGTCACTGCTTATCGGTTATGGATACAGAAAATAGAAGGGATGATATGACAATAACTAGAGATTCAGGGGATTCATTCCTACTTTAACTGCAAAACAAGACTATATATCTTTAAGTACAAAGCATTTAGTCTTAGCTAAGGAATTGACCCCACACATGGTTTTTTAATGGTATTTTTGGCAGAGTCCAACATTCAGGAGAAACATCCTTTTTAAAGAGGTTTTAAAATATAAATGGTTTGATCAGATAAAATATTGGATGCAGACTATGGAAACTTGCATGCCATAAGTTCTTCCTCCTAAACCTCATTTCAGCTACAATCTGCTGAACCTCCATGTTTGTAGTAAAGAAAACCAATATAACATAATATATCAGGGGAGGCTAAAAGCACCCTGGATGTCTACAAAGAATTTACTATAAAAAGAAAAAAGGGGAACCACCTTTAAAAGCACACACTGTTTTGACTTTCATGTGGGTTTTGTCCCACTGTCCTAAAGTCACCACAACTTCCTCTCTGAAAACTTCTGTTATTAGCAATGCAAACTTGTTTGTACAAATACATTTAATATTATCAATCTATCTATCTCTATATATATAAAAAAAAAGGAGTGTGATTAAACCAGTATGATTAACCTTTATTGTATATTAGGTCTTGTCCTATTTAGGTTTATGTATTGTGTTGCTTTATCTTTATCTGAAGCTGACTGCAGAAAAACAACAACAAACCCCTGCGACATATTTATAAAGTAGTTTTTTTTTTATCAGAGTTTTCAAAACAATTTCAAAGATTTTTCTGACAGTTTTCTGGAAGTTTGAAAAATATTTTCAGAATATACTGTTCAATTCAAAACAGTATATCGCTTTTTGCTAATGATTCAGCAGCGTAGTAAATAGGGGTGTAAATAATAATCGTTTTGTATCGATGCATCGATCCAACAGCCGACGATCCAATGCATCGACACGTCCGCAAGAGAATCGATTCATTTTTTTTCCCTCCGGTCTCTTTTTATCCATTTGACCCAGGGCGTAATTCTCCTCCTGTGCTGCGGTGGCGCTAAACCTATTTTGCCCTCCTACCTCGCTTCCTGGTTATACTCTTACAGCAGTGTGTTGCAGTAAGCTTGACACAGACATTTGTGATTTATGCTCAACATTGAAGCATGGTCTGTGCTACACACTGTGGGTCTAGATACGGCCAAGGCGGTGAGGAAGTGGGAGCGAGTTTAGTCCGACGACGGAGAGATATGAGGGCCAAAAAGAGCGGAGATCCAGGTGGAAAAACGGTCCCAGCGTTCTCGCGCAACTCGCTCTTCTAGAGGGTCAAACTTTGCGAGTTGTTTTCCGTAATTTCGGTCATAAAAACAAAACAAGCCGGCCTCCTGTCTGCGGTCAGCTAAAATTTGGGAGAGGAGCAGCGGAGCGTCTGTGGAGGGGACGGGGACGTCTGGAGCAGAGGTACTGAATTGCACTCATTGCACTGATTTTGTGCAGTATTTTCTGATGCAAGGCCTTTCAGAATCTATAACGCAGGGGTGAATGAGGCTTTAATAGGAATAGGTTGAGTGCAACTTTTCTACTTCTGTTATTTGCTGTTGTTTCTCAAATAAAATGCATAACGATATTACAGCTTTCACTGATTTATTTCAAATTTGAAACATTGTCTAGCCTGTAAGGTGTAAAAAAAAAAAAAAAGAACCAATTAATTGAATCGTATCGTGGTGTATTCTTGAGTATCGAAAATAATTGAACCGTTGGGTCAGGAAATCGATACTGAATCGAATCGCAAAGATGGATGTGATTTACACTCCTAGTAGTAAAGGACGACTTCACATCTTTTGCACTTTTTGGACTTATTTAGATCCCCTGTAGGATGAGACTGGACAATTAATTGTATTTGCAATATAATTGCATTTTAAAGGTCGCATATTATGCCAAATTCCCTTCATAAACATTTTCTAACAGTCATATATAACCTGAAGCTCATGAGTGTATTTAAAATAAAGAAAAAAAACTTTCCCCGATCTTACTGCCTTGTTCCTCCACTTAGGTAATGTTTTATCAAAATGATCAACATCCTTCCCTTTATGAGATAATTTGGGGAAATAACCCCTCCCCTGTCTAAGCCCGCCCTGTTGCAGGCGCCACCTCTTTCTGCTCAGTGAAAGAGAGCATCCAAACAGACATGGCTAACACCTTAAG